TTGACACAAGAAAATTTTTCTTATTCTCTTTCAAAGAAAAAAATGAAACTCTAGGTCTTACTTTACATGTTTATCTTAAAATCATCATTTTCAACGCGCTTTCCTGATTACGTCCGATTTTGTCCGCTTCCAGTAACCTAGATTTATCGAAATTCTAGCATACAGCATGACATATCGCTGCATACAGCATGACATATCGCTGCAAAATTACTGGTACTTCTTTTTAAGACCAAGTCGAACTGTTTTTACCTTTCGTGCATGCACTCGAGCCCGAGCTGTCTCTGCTCTGTGATTTATTTTGGATTTATACGCTTGCGTAGATTATGGAGAGGCCTCTCCACGTGGATACAACGTTTTAGAATCGACAAGACTGTTCACGGTAGCTCGGTAGCTTGATCTGCCTTGATTTGCCGTCGATCCTCAATGCGCGTGAACGTCGTAAATATACAATGTAGTACTTGCTGTCGTTCGTTATCCGTCCCCACGTGTCTCGAATGTGAGAAAGACACGTTTCCACATCGGCAATTTCTGATTGCAGTACATCTGAACTATCATTTGATTTGTTTTTGGAAATGGAATTCTAATTGCTAATATTAAATATTTTATGTATTAATTTAATATTATTGTAAAATATTATATTTTATTATCTATCATCGCATAAAAATTTTTACTAAAGCATTCTTCTGCATTCCGAAAATTCTACAGTTTGCGGCCATATTTCGTTTACTAAGTGCAATTTATTCTATTTGTCTTCCAAAAATCCTGTACAAAGTTACTCTTGACCGAAAATTTCACAGTGAAATGTAGACTCTGTCATGCGCTTCGGAATGCGATGCTGCGAACGTTCGAAAAGTCGTGTGAGAATTCAGTCCCGAAATAGGAACTGTTCTTGTCCGCTTTCATTGGCGTCTATCACGCGAGGGCGAGAAGGCGAGAGTTCCGCGAGCGGAAAAGGAAACCTTGCTGTGCGGCTCGGATACGCCCTCAGCTTCTTTTTCGAATACCTCGCGGTATGCCATCCCGTATCCTCTCATTCCCTTGCCTCGCTCGTTCCTGAAAGAGGAACGCGCGCAAACTACATACATTGACGCACTCACCCGGAATGCATTCCTGCACGAGCGTATTTCAATATAAACAATTGGCGAGCGAATTTTCCTCGGGCCTTCGCGCGAGTGATTTCTGGCCGACGTGACGGCGATGCTTCTGTCTGCGATCGCGACCCTGCGGCCTCTCGACGGTAAGACACTCCGTTTCTCTCACTTTTTTCTCTTCTCCGTTCCCTTTTTCTCCGCTGCTCCTTTGCCATCTGCGTGTCGCGATTCTCCTTTCATTTCTTCTCCTTTCTTTCCTTCGGAATTTTGTTTAAATTTCTACCTTGCACCGTGTAAAAGAGAAACAAATTTGCATTATATTAAAAATGATTTTGGAAATATTCAGCTATCTAAAGATTAATTGAACAAATATAAAATAATCAGCAATGCTTGAGATAAATCTGAAACTCAAAATATAAAAAATTTGTCTGAACACAAAGAAATTAGCTGAATAAATCTATATTTTACTGCAAAATAATGGCATTTAAAATTTTTACTAATTTTATTTCATCAGTAAAAAAAGAAATGTTATATTTTGTAATAATTAATTAAAATATCCTATTATTTATTATCCGTGATGATTTGTTATATTTATATTTATATGCATTCTGATCACATTTAATACTTACGTTTCATTTAATCAATAAATTCTTCATGGAATAATTTCACGTAAATCTTTCGAAATAAATAAATATTATAATTATAATTTTTAAACTTATCGCAAACTTACAAAAAAGAGATCATTTTACGCAAGCCTTAACATAAATTATACAAGAAAAAAATTATAAAAGAAAAGAGTTATATATTTCAAAGTGAAATAATTCAAACAAACTGTATATAAAGAGATAATCGTTAAAATAAGCCGAAGAATTGAATTTACTAAGAAGTGTAATAATGTGTTAACATAAAGATTAATTATGCTTTACGTATTAATTAATATCAATTAATGTGCGTGATCTGGTTTTAGCATGCGTGGAGAAAACCAGACTCGAGATTTACGATTTTCTCATAAAAAAAAACTGCGCAAAGGGTTAGAATAATCAGTACACCGGTTATACTTTGTAACGTGATATTTTCTTATTATAACATCTGCAAAAAAGACCAGTCGCGTTACATCTACAACTCCGTACATATCGCCGTTATGCGTCTCGAAACTGGTTACATCATCATCAATAATGCTTTTATTATTCATCGTAGCGATGTTCTACGCGACGCTACGATACAATATATATATATCCATTTTATATATATATATATTTATTTATATATATATTTATATTCTTCTTTGCAATTCATTTATATATATATTCATATATTTTCATATTTATATATTTATATGCATTCACATATATATTTATATTCTTTATTTATATTTATATATATTAATTATTTACACATTTTTTATACAAAAGTTTTCACGACTTTATACATAACTATGTATAAGAACGTCACTCTCTCGCGCCCTGACGTACCTACACACGCGTTCGTTTATCGGTATAATACATTTTTGAATTTCGTGAGCAACCGTATCGTCATGCGAGCACCTCGAGAGGGATCCAGGTGAGATGAGAATACCATGAGAATATATCGACAGGAACTCGTTTTACCTTCGTGTTTCAGTTCTTGGATGGAATAGTGAAGATCATTTAAAAAATCGAAGTCCTTTTACTAATTTTATAAATAAATATTAAAATTAAATAAAATATATTAAACTCTTCTCCATACAGAAATATAAATTACAATATAATATAAAATACAATACAAATAATAAAGTATAAATTAAAAGAAGAATTTCGTCAATTTTTTTACAATTTTAATAATTACTTTGGAGTCAACAACATGAAATTTTCATCTTTAGATAGAGAAATATAAGCTACTTTTGAACAAAATAGTTATATTGTTAGGTACTTCTATATATTCTTTTTATGTTTCTGAAATATGAAAGAAATCATTTATGATATTATTCCATCCAACAACTGACTTATTTAATCGTCATCGATTCCTTCTGTACTCTGATAATCACTATCACTTTCTGAAACTGCTCAATGAACGATGATGAAAAAGGTGAACATAGAGTGTACAGAAATTATAGTATCACTCCTAAGCATTTAAGTACTCAACGTATGGTAGTGATCGTCCATAAGCATTTCCAAAAATCGATGCTCCCTTACTTCGTATATAATAAGCCCCTTATTTTTAGAATAACATATAGTTTATAAATGTAATTTAATCAAAATTTTTTCAAATTTTCTTAATCAAAGAAAAGGACAGAACTATTTAATTACGTATAACCAACGAAGTCTGAAATTTGAGAAAAGAGACAACATACTCGCGACATGTATTTATTTTACGAAATTTGGAACTCAAATCTGCAAGTAATTCAGTATCATCAATTGGATCCCGTTCGAGGAAATTTAATCGCAGAATTTCCTTTAAGGAACGACCGCTGCTTAAACATATTAGAAATATCCCATATACCCCTAAAAAAGTGCTCCACTAAGTAACTAGCTCGACATTGCCACATTTACTATAACGTAGTATTCAAATATCTCCTCTTAATATCATTAAACAACCCTATACAACGCGCCGAATCCGTTGTGCTATTGTTGTGTATACAATATATTGTACAATTATTTATAAGATAGAAAAAGCACCGTTTCGAAAAATCGGGTTTCAATTTTGACATACGTATTATCACATTATTTTGCGCGCGCGCGATCTCGTTCTTTCTTTCTCTCTCATACATTTTTGTGCTCACTTCCTTTTTCGCCCTTAATTTTTCCATATACATAAAATACACACACACACACACACACACACACACACACACACACACCCGCATACACATTGAAATAAACACATACTCGCACATACATTTCGCAACGCAGTCCTCGTTTCACGCATATTTAGTTCACAATTATTCTATCTTTATCCATCGGAGACGCAGCGGCGAGCAATATCGAATATTCTTCATATTTCAATCAAAAATATAATTCGATATATCTCGTATTTTAATATTGACCCGTTACATCCCAAATTGAGATGTTCCTCAAGTGAAACATCCGAAATCCTTTCTTTGTTTTCTACTTATTGTTAATTTTGTTGATAGAATAAGATTCATAAGATATCTTTGAAGAACAAAAAAATGTTTGACCTTATATTAATTTTGCTTTAAAAGATTAAAAAAATCCGCAGACTATAATGGATTTATCCATTAAAATATAAAGAGACTCTGTTAGAAATTATATTAATATAAAAATAACTAATAAAATATATAATTTAATTAATAAAATAAATAATAAAGAATCCAATAAAATCAGTGCATTTGTAATTTTTTATAATTTATATTAAGATTTTATCCCAGTTGTTATTCGTAAACATCGTTACATTTTCATTGTATACTTCCAATATACATTTGCATTTAATAGTGTATTATTATACGTCCCGGGATGTAACGAATCGTAAATTGTTGCTTTTTTATATAATTAAACAATCATCAAGATTATCCCGTCGAGATTTCTAGTCATACTGACAATCAGATATTCAATAACATAAAATGTCATTCAATAACATAAAGTGTCATTGCGAGAAATAACAAAAAAATTTGGCGCATTTTGCTCACAATCGAATGTTTACAAATTTGCTTTATTTAAGCTTCTCACAAGAGAATCTCACAAACTAAGAAATTCTAATTTCGAAAATCTTTGTATATTTAGAATAAATATTTAATTTGCAAATTTTTAATTAATGCCGGTTTATGATAAAATCTTTACGTAGAGCTAGTTTTTCTTTTTCCTTTTTTTTTTTATAATCCTCAAAATTATTTAAGATATAAAATATGATTCATAAGTTTTATAATATAAAAGCATTTCTATTTAACTGCACAATAATGTTAAAATACATACATCGATGACAATACCAGCAAAGAATGAAGAAGAAAATGTAGAGAGGCTGAAGCAAGTGTTGAAAAGAGCAGAAGAATATGGCTTAGAAATCAACAAAAAGAAATGCAGACTGCTGGAACGACGTATCGAATTCCTAGGACATGTCATTGAAGATGGAAAACTGTATCCGTCACCGGAGAAGACAAAAACTGTCTTGAAGTTCCCGGAGCCGAAGACCGTTAAGCAGATACAGAGTTTCCTTGGTTTAACCGGCTACTTCCGGAAATTCATCCCACACTAGTCCAGGATTGCTAAGCCGTTAATAGATCTGTTAAAGAAGAAACAACTTTTCCGGTTTAAGACGAAGGAGATCGAGGCATTTAAAAAATTGAAACAATGTTTAACTGAAGAGCTAGTTCTAAGGGGCGATATACCGCTGCACACCAATCATTTAGATCACTTAGGACCGCTAGAGACAATTCATAAAAACTACAAGCACATTTTGGCGGTTATAGATGCTTTTATAAAGTTCGTATGGTTATATCTTAAAACAGTAACATCTAAGGAAGCTATTGAGAAGCTGGAGCTACAGAAGAGCGTTTTCGGTAACCCAACTCGAATTTTGTCTGACAGAGACACTGCCTTCACTTCTGTTGAATTTGAGGACTACTGCTACCAGGAAGACATTGAACACATCAAAGTTACGGTGGACTTACTCAGATCCAACGGACAAATTGAACGAATTAATAAGACGATCATCTCAGTACTTGCAAAGATGTCACTAGATGAACCCACTAAATGATACAGACATGTTGCAAGACTACAACAAGTCTTGAATTCCACATATCAACGCAGCATTGATACCACTCCTTTTGAGCTGATGATAGGAACTAGGATGAAATCCAAGGAAGATCTCGCTATGAAGGAAGCGATTGAACAGGAGTTAACTCACTACTATGATATCACCAGGAGACAATTAAGGGACGATGCTAAGAGGCAAATCGAAAAGGTTCAGGATGAGAACAAGAAATATTATAACCTACGACATAGAGATCCTCATAAGTATCATCTTGATGACCTCATAGCCATCAAGCGTAGACGAGGCCTGGATTAAAATAAAAATCCAAGTATCTGAGACCTTATCGTATCACCAAGGTAAAGCCTAATGATACTTATAACGTCATAAAAGTAGGAAATTGCGAGGGACTACTAAAAACCTCTACCTGTGTTGAGTACTTAAAACGATGGGCCACGTTGGATCTTGGCGAAGAGACATCATCCGGGGCGGATGACCATTCAGGATGGCTGAACTGTGGGAAACATGTAGATGGTGACAGTGTTTGCGGTACCGGATGGCGCTGGCGCGCGTAGTAGTACAGAAGACAGAGAGTAGAATAAGTCGAGAGAGAAGGTCTAACTGTAACGTTTTAGTCTCATTAAACATCTATTCATTTTTCTAAAGAACGCTCTTTTTCTGCATCGCACAAATCCCTACACTATCGTATTATATTATTATAAAATAAACATATTTTGACTTTAAGTATAATTTTTTACATAAATTTGTAATTTTTATAGGTGAATAAATTACAAGTAGCGAATCTTTTTATTTTTTATATCTCAAATAATTTTCGGAGATATATTGCTTTGTGTAGAAAAGATAATTTTATCCCTGTTTTTTAACACAGGAAAATTTCCAAATTCATCTAACTTTTATCTACATAATATATTCACAATTTTAATCTGAATTTCCGGGTTCGCGAGGTTCCCTTGTCAGTGCGACAAGATAACGCGACTTACCTTACGCAGCGTGATTTCTCTGGACATCTCGTCCCGGAATCATCATCTCGAGTCAGCTGTGTCCCGAGTATTCCTATCAATCGATCAGTCGACCGATCCCGTGATTGCCGCGGAATTAATCGTGACGCGATGATGTGACGCGCAATGGCACTGGCATACAAAGAAGACGTTGCATCGCACTCTCAAGTGGTCTCGTCACGTACGCTCTTAAGTAACCCAAGGTAAAAATATCGTATTTACAAGATACATAATATTGGCTGTATATATGATATCGCGCGGTATTGTCATCCAAGTTGAACGTCACATGTGGGGTTTCGCCGTCGCTCGCTGCTTTTCTTCCTCGAGGCTTTTCTCGAAGACAATCGTCGTCGCGTCAGATGAAACATCGAAATCGCCGCTGTAATTCTAATACGACGGTACAGGTAAACGCGCTAAACGTTATTCGCAAAAACGCTGCTGTTAAAAATACTACCGCACGAACGCGAAGGAGATTAATTTATCTCGCGCGAGCTCATAAGTTTCCTTCGTGATTTCACGCCGTAAAACGCAATGCGCTTTGCACTTTACATTCTACTTACAACAAACAATTTCTTTTTATATTAGTCGACCCGCACTAAATTACCAGGTGTTCCGATGATGCCCGATTCTCTTAGCTTCTATCTAAGTACTATACATAAAAATTTGTACAATATTTATTTTTAAATAGACAAACTTTTCGATAACGTGTACCGTAGTCTTTACAAAGATAATTCACTTTAAAAAATAAAATAGAATATAAAGCGGATTTGAGAGACGAGACGTTCGAGTGACTTCAAAAAAGTATACTAAACGACTTAATGTAGTAACAAAGGTGATCAAATTGTAATACATATAGCTAAGAAAATCGCAAACGGACGAGAAATGGAAAAGAAAGAACACAATGCAAATTATTTAAATTTGTTCAAAATTTTTTTCAAATATGTCCTACCGTTCAAAAATATTTATCACCGTCTTTCTTAATTAAATGAAAAATTTTAATTTTTATCTTCATTAATTTTTTATATTAGATTTAATAATAATTTCTTTTAGATGTAATAATAATTATTTAATGATTTTACATTTTATATATCTACTAAATTCTCTTTATAAAGAGAATATAGTAGAATTTATTAATTATAGAATGGAATTTAGGCATATAAAAAAGATACATATAAAAATCAAGGATACATAGAAAAATACTTCTGAACGATAGTGCAACAATAAGGATATTTTACATAAAAAAGGAGTCTTTCAACAATTTATTAATAACGATTTTTCTTAAATATAAAGCTCAGATATATTATCATACTTCGATTTTTTATGTAAAGTATTAATTAAAATTATGCGAAGATTTTTGATAATTTGAAGAAAAAAATACTTTTCGCGAAGGAGATGAGAATTTTTTCGATTCAAGTATATATGAGCATTTTACATTATTTCGAAAAAAGTTGACGAAAATATTTTATTACGAGACACAGGATAAAGTCGTTTTTGACGTTTTAAGATCTTAACGTCGAAAAATCGAAGAATTAGGATACTCGATTGTATAGCTACGCGAAAATAACCGAGATAAAATCATGACTTACCATCAATAATCCTCGAGGATCACAGACGACTTCGACGAAAGCGACGTCGTGGGATTTAGATCTGCGATGTGCGTGCAGGCGCGAGCGTCGTCCGACCGAAAGGGATATTTCCAAAAGAATGTTTCACGGGCTATGAACTTGGAGAACGTAAGCCTCGTAGAGAAGGCGTCAAGACGAATGACTAAGGCCCATGGCATGACTCGACTAATAGCGAGTACTCGACGCGAAGATTGATTCGAGATAGCGATGGGAGATCCACCAGCTCTCTTTCCCCCTCATCGTTGATTATAAATGCTAATTTATGACTTCTTCACGCCACGCTCGTCTTCCCCTTCCTTCCACCCTCTCCGTTATTTCATTCTTTGCCATATAACAAAACGCTTATCTATCTATCTATTCCCCCTCCCCCAAATCCCCTATATCTCTTTCAATCTCTCTCTCTCTCCCTCTCTCTCTCTCTCTCTCATTCTTATTCATTCGCTTCCTCTCACACTTTTACTCGTGCACACACGCATAGAACAACTGACAAGCTCCTTACACACATAAACCCCTCCCTCTCTTTCACTTGACCACTTTAGTGAGTACCAAGTTTTAACGCCCAGTAGATGTTCTTGGACGCTGTCGGGCCGCTCGGCGCCTCCGCGATTTTCTGAATGAGCAACGTCTTTATTACATATTTTTCTCCTTGTTTTCCTTTTCTCTCTCTTTACTTGTACCTCTCTCTTTCGCTTGTCTCTGCACGTCACCGAAAATTCTTCTCTTCTGATGAGACGATCTCTCCTCATCTTAAGCCCACCTTTCTCGCCATTCTGCGCGCATTCTCTTATCACCTTCGGTCGAACTTCGTTAATGATTTTGCTTAAGTCTCGCTATCTAACCCTTTTTTTCTTTTTTGCGTTCTCTTTCTCTTTCTGATATCAAGTTGCGTCTGCTCAGAGTACAAAAGTTTTCAAGTTCTGATTGAGATATTCTGATTCGTCGTGAGTACCGTACAGGTCTAGCAAAACGCGAGTACAATAAGTATCAATGACAAAGAATATTGTCGCGTCACGGCGCTAAGAGCAACGCGGATACGTAAGTGGGTTAATGACGATGTTGACAAGAATGACGCGTTGATCTTCGACCTCGAGATCTCGCGACAAACAAGACCGATATCGCGCCCTACCGTTCGCCGTTCTCGCCCTTCGTATCAAGCATATTCGAGATTCGCGGCGTCGCCCACCCTCGCCCCGCGCCCGATTCTTTTCTACTCTTACGCGAATCGAGCTCGCGGGTTATTATCGGGCGCCGCGACACCGCTATTCGAGGTATAATATTATGCGGAAGCTAGCTGCCGCCAGACAGAGTGTCACATCGTGGATATGTAGGGCCAGTTGAAGCTGTTGCCGCTCAGCAGCATGTCCCTGATGAGCGTCTCGATCGGCGTCTTGCCTACCAGCCGCACGAAGAAGAGCTGCTCGATTACCTGCGACGAGACCGTGCGTAACGACGGTAGTCGCAGCAGCAGCTTGCCAAACCTTGTCGGTTGATTCGGGTACTGGGTCCGACAGTACTCCTCTAGGGCGCACTGCGATTTTTCCTGAAGGGATTCGATGTGCGCCACGTCCGAGAGTCCGCAGGCGTCTGCGACAGAAAAGAGAAAAAACCGTTTAGACACAACGTATAAAAATGATTATTTTTAAACGTTTTTGATGACAATTTTTAATTTAATACAAGCATTAAGCATGCTGTACATTTCGACTTATAGTAATAAAATTACATGATTATTTTTATTATACGTTTAATATGATCAAGGAAGTTATGCTTTAAAACTTGTTTCCTGTATGTCTTTTTTTATTACTTTTACATGTGATTATTTAAATTTTGAAGCATTATAATTAGGTAGCTAATACGAAGCAGACATTAATCTTCTGTGCAAAGTATCGATCATAAGCAACCAAATCAAATTTAAAATATCATGTTGTACTATAAAATTTGTATAAGATATGTTATATGTTTATCATTATTTGATATCTATTTAGAATAATAAAGAATCATAAATTGTCCAACATATTTTAAAATTATTGAAATTTTACTATGCTCTTTTAGTAAAATAAATCAAATATACTTTATATATTTTATTTGTGGGAATAATTAATAAACAGAGAGAATCATATAACATTCTTTGAAATATCATATTACATTATCCCACGAATTTCAGGGTAAATGCTAAAAGAAAATTCTGTCCGTGATACAAATACTATTTGATATGATTAATATATCGGAGTATCCTGTAAATATATGTCGTAAGAAGTTTGTTTCTTCGCGCCTTGACCCTAATTTCTTGCTCGTGTTCGAATAGAATGGCAACCGACGGTAGAAAATCTCAGTTTTTCCGCTCCGAACATTCTCCTCATTAGCCGAAGCGTATCTCTCGATACGCGGTAAAGGCGATAACTGTTGCCGTTTAATCTACGCGCATAAAGGAAACACTGAGGAAAGCACCTACGCTTTATTATCGAGTTAATTATCGTTGTAGCCCATTAACTGAGACATGATTAGCGAGTCGAAGAGAACTCGTTTCTCGGATAGACCAGTGATCATTACTAGAGGCGAGAGAAACGAGGAAAGCACCTACGCTTTATTATCGAGTTAATTATCGTTGTAGCCCATTAACCGAGACATGATTAGCGAGTCGAAGAGAACTCGTTTCTCGGATAGACCAGTGATCATTACTAGAAGGCGAGAGAAAAAGTAAAAGAAGAAATTATTTATACGCACACAACCTAGTGACGACGAGCGAGCAATAGACTTAGAAATCGAGCTTGCCAAAATATTTTTATAATGGCAACCCGGAAATAACTTTTTAATTCTCTACATTGAAATAATAATGTGCGCGTGCCAAGATTGGCCGTTTAACTTTACAAAGTTTTGCAAGTCAATTCTCTTGGTATTAATTGACGTGTAACTGTTAAAAAGAATTTAATTTAAAGCAAACTGAAAAATTTGTCGCTTAATAGATTACAATTACTTTTAATTAATATATATTATTCTTCATTAATTTATTATGTAAATAAGAAGGAACAATTTGAATCGCTGTTGTCAAGCCCGGACAGTGCTACAGGTGATTCGTCATTCAAACACGAGGGTTAAAGCCCTCGTCGGGTTGCAATGAAGACTGCAATCCCCGGCAGACGAGAGTGAGATTCACGTTGGAATGCACGTGCCAACCGGAGACACCGCCGGTGCAAATGTCAGACTAATCACATGGGCCATCTACTCACTTCGGCTTACTCGTGAAACCGCACTATTGTTTCCCGGAAAATGCAGTCTTTTGTTCATACAGGAAAAGAGAGAAATGGTAGATACGTATGGTTTTGCACAAGTATATCGGGTGCCACGAGAATAGCAGAATTACCTTCACCTTTAAATGGAAATTTCATAATCATTTTTATTTAAATAAAATAAACTAATTAAATTTATTCGTGCATATAGACATAGATATTTTTCATTTGCATAAAAATAGTTTCACAGAGAATTAATCTCATAACTATAGAATATCTAACTAAATATTTTATTACTAAATACATCATATAAACTTTACATTAATTATCAACATTTTGCCATCTCGCTCGTTACATTTTTTACGTTCTTCGCTTCTTATGAAGAAACTTTATGCTTTCAGTATATAACACATACGTATAGAATTTTCTTTTTCATAGTATTTTAATATTATTTTCATATTATTTTTGTACTTCTAAATAGGGCCATAAATTACTTTGATCAGTCATTAATATATTGAAGTACTCTCATCAGCTTCGTACATTACTTGTCACATGCATGCTAAGGCAAGTTTCATTATCACATTTTTCACGAAATGATCGAGGATTGCCTATAGCAGTGGACCAGGACGAATCGCTCTATCAAAAGCGAGTGCGTGTGAGAAATCGAGATTACTATCCATGCTCATAAATCGACGGGGATGGTCGACAATCGAAAAGCAAGCGTGCGTGTCGAGGGTCAGCGATTCTTTTTGCGAAACTTTGAACAGGACGGACTTCGTTGTTCCTCATTACGCGCAATCCGCGCACACGGCGCGTGCATAAACGCGCTGCAGACGTCAGTTTTCTTTGTGATAGAGCCCACGTGCGCATAATGGGCCATTACGCGTACACAGGGAAATAACGCGATTTGCATTTGCATTTCCTAGCGACGTTTTCTGCGTGGCAACTACCTAGAAATCGCGCGCGGGCACGAACGAAATTGTCCGCGACGAGAATCGCAAAGTTTGCCAATTTATTGGAGCAGATACGTGCAACAAACGATTAGATACTTCAATCAACGTCCAGTGAACCTGTACTTATTTATTTCTCTGCGTTGTATATTACGTATAATGGAATTAAATTTTTTTAGAAGGAGAAATAACTACATTTTTTATTGTTATGTAATTACAGATTGCGATTACCATTTATCGGGAAAAATTAACAGCTAGTAAATCATAAATAAGCTATCATTAATTCATTAATGACGTTATTAAACAAACTGAATTAGTAGATGGTTTATTTATCTCAAAAAATTGTAACAATGTTCAATGCACATTTTCCGCACATCGCACTTCCTGCATCTACAATAGAAAATGGAAATTATTAATTTAACTTATTTATTTGAATTAATATAACTCGTATTTATTATTACAAAATAATATTTGAATAGTTCGATCGTGAATAACGATTTGTTCAATCAATATATTCATATCATAACATATTTATATTTAAATGTAGTCATCCATTTTGCCGTTTATACTTGCGACATACTTATTTGCATATCATTGCCGAACGCTCGAGGGAACCCAAGATCTCTTACAAGATCTTAATAGACCACTGCAGTCTGTTTTTCAAGGAACAACATGAATCGTGCCGTAGATACTAGGATTGTGTAAATATACGCAAAACTTAATTTCGCTACTATATTATTATTGTTAACAGTTCTCGATGGGTTGTTTTTTCATTCACATTGCATCTACGTCGCATCAAGGACATGCATTGATAATCGACGTTTAATTTCTAACACATGAACACTTTATCAAGGCACGGAGAATCGTAAAATGCAGCTTCGGACAACCGGTACATATCTTTTTTATGAGAGAGCTGTTTCGTATTAAGACTCGAGAAATGATCCTCATGCAACTTATCTTTTTTTGCAAACGTTTGGGTAAAGAAATCGAATAATAATCCGATTGCATTATCGCCGGACAGTTATCATAATGTAACTGAAATCCATTGCTAATGCATCAGATCTGATTAACTTTGATGAAATATTGTGCGCAACTCAATGTTTACTCTACAAAATTATTCAGACAATTAAATTTTTTTATTATTTTACAAAACAAATTAATTATTGTGTAAAATAAAATTAAAATATATAATATAATGAAAGAATTACCGTCCATAAAAAGTGTATAAAAGAATTAAACAAGCCGTTGTGTGTTTTTAAATTATAGACTTTTATAATTTAGATAACATATCTCTAGTTGAACTCCTATATAAATCTAATAAGTATTCATCATTAAATAACAAAATTATCCTAAATTTTATTTCGACTTCGTTAACAATTGCGAGAGACACGATTAGAAGCATCAGTTTATGAATTACAAAATTCGAAAATTATATGTGATAATTGTCTAATAAATTTTCTAGCCCCCACATCTTTCTGCTTGAAAGTTAAACGTTAAAATAATCAGAGTTCTCTGCCTCTCTATTCTTTATGTCGCAATGATGCTGATCGACGAAATCCGAGCGTGATTCGCCCGTATCAGTCTCGATCGACGAGGTCTCAATTAAAGAGACCGCGAGGAATCCGCCAACGCGCGGCCAATAAACAAACTGTCGGATTGGCTCTGTGCGATGTCGTCAGCGCCAATTCACCGCATCAGTTCGAATAATGCCGTTGAGTGGCGTCTCTGGTTTCCTTCTCGCGTCGTCTTTCGTCTCGTTTTCTCTCTCCCTCTCTCTCATTCTCATTGCACGCGTTAACCGCTAAATGCTGTGGCGCCTCGTTGACCGAGCACCACCATAAATTGACCAATCTTCAGTAGTGGGATCCCTGAGTCCCATTGCCGTCTTCCACGATACCGCTGGGGTACACCCCCTCGGGACCCCCCGCACACTGGATTCGATTGACTGAAATTCGACCTACGATTTATCAATATTACACGAGTTGCGTAGCGATATTAAATCAATTATTGGTCACTTCGCAATGTTTTAGCATTGGTAAGCTGATTGGCGGTTGAGAGATCTTGAATGCGCTCTCGCTCGAAGCGGAGTATCTATATATGACGCAGATAAGGCTAAAAGAGAATTTGATATTCCTGTAATATCTAAAAAAATATATAGCTCGCCATGATTTGATAACTGACTTTATACCATCAAGATTTTTTTAAAAGAAATGCAGATAAAGCTGAAGAAATTTGATACTCCTTTAATGTCTAAAAAATATATAGTCCATCATGATTTGATAACTTGAATTTATAGTATCTCTTTCTCGTATGAGTTTCCGACAATGAGTGTAGGAGTTTCAAACATGTCTTAGATATCTTTAGATTATGGTGCATTGTGAGCTGTGATTGTGCCATTCTCTGGGTATAT